GTCTGTATCGAACCGCAAAGCACTGGGAGTAGGGAGGTTTAGCCATTAACCAATATTGAATCAGCATATTGCTCCGTTCTCTAACAGCCAGTCAAAGATTGTTTGATCTTGGCCGTAGTTACAGAGTCAATCCCATTTGCAACATTTCAAACACAGCAGACATCTAGGTGATCCTAATGCATTAATCCTGGTGTGATCAAACTGGTCAAGTTAGTAATCTATAGATAATATTGATGACATTTCGTCGTTTAAAGGACGTGACTTCAAAATCCTAAAGTCTAAAGTTGCATGATAAACTTTCCGTTTACCGAGATAGGTGGAACTCCAATTTAATCTATTTTACATAGTTTTCGTCAATGTTGCTTAACTTGGGCTCTGAAAATTTAGCCGTCACATTATCTCAAACTCAAAATATAAATAAGCAGCTGAAGTTCTTTCCTTCAATATTTAATAAATCTTTGCTGATTTTGATCCAAATTGAATACAAATAATTTTTGTTGGTTATAAAATATAACCTGCTTTCTTTGAATTTCGGATTTTCCATATGTTATTTCCATGTTTTTACCACTGAGCTAGTGATACAAATGGAAGCAGCACTGAATAAGAAAATTGTGAAACTTAGGTCACTATTTTTACTATTGGATAAAGAACATTTTAAGTAGTACATTTGAACTAGGGGATTGTTGAATTGTACACGAAGCAAATAAGCTCACACCCTAGTTGGTACCAAGTTTTTTAGATTTTGTTAGAAGAGTCGTCTTGTCAGTGCTACCTCCAGTCCTATTTCTAGCCCAGTGATTTTGACCAGGCCTCATGCCTCCTGGACCAACAAAATACACCCATCAATAAAATCAATGATCTGCTACCCTAGTTTTTGTTTTCAATTTAAAACCCTTAGAAACAAGACACCGATATTTTATAAAGTTTCGGGACATATATTTCATACAGAAAAGTGTCGGTGTGTTTTGGCCGCCGGGGTGGGCAACGGGGTGGGTTTTGGGATCAATATGCACACGGCTTGTCTGATTTATGGTCCAGGGTGGCAAGCATTCATATGGCTGCATTGACCCAAGCTACATACCTGCATACGTGATTTGTTTGGCGGATAATAATTCAACCGTTTCCCGATAAACCAGGTCAAATATCACTGGAAAATTTACATGAAACGTGTGGAAATCCGATATGCTTTGTGTGTTTCAAGTACAGTTGAGGGATTTAGAAACCGTTACATATGGACAAAATTTTTTACAAAAGTACTAAATTATTATTATTTTTAGGTGTTGTTTAAATTTAAGCTATTATAATACAATATTTTACCTTACGTCCTTTTGGATCCAAAATAACAAGTATTTTTAATGATGGAACATATATCATAAACAAATGTTTTATTAACGGAAAATAACGTATTGAACTTCATTTGGTAATTTAACTTGTTAAGTAACAAATACAAATAGAAAAATAATAAATAATAAAATAAATAATTAATACAACTAGTGAACTGTTTTGTTTTTATACAAATTATAGGAACCCCCTACAATAGTATTAAAATTACTTATTAATTTATTTATTTATTTAATTACTTACTCATTTATTTTATTTTTATTTATTTATTTATTTTAGTTTTTTTAATATTTTTTCTATTCATTTATTTTTTAAGTTTTTATTTTTTTATTTTATTTTATTTATATTTTTTTTTTTGTTTATTCATGTATTTTCTTGTATTAGAACTACACCAGCGCCAATATTTTAAGGGAATTCAAAAAAATTATTGTACTGGAACACTGTATTGTACGTTTTTAATATGAAAATAACTACACCATACATATTCTGTCACTTAACTTGTAATTCTGAATAATAGTTGTTTAGGTGTGAAATGTATTTATTGGCAGAAATCGGATTACAATGTCCCTATTATATTATGATACCTGTAAATGTGTTCTGTCAGGTATAGTCTGATCACCTTTGAAGTGTAACTCACCGGGGTAATCCTCAACTAATAATCACTTGACCTATATGTACATTGGACATCTGATATTGTCACTCGTCTATCCCAACAATCCTGTACACACAGTGCTCTAGCTCAGTACCATTTCTGACTATAACGATGGTAAATTACCTTTAGATAATCTTTCTACATATAGGACACGTTTTGTGGTACAATTAAAAAGTTGTGTAGTATGAAGAGACGGGTTTTGTGCACTTTAACTAAAGAAAAGATCAATATTTAATTATTACGAACTTATCATGACCTCCATTACAACTTATTGTCTTGACGTTATATTGCAACTGGCAACTCCTGAAAGACGTAATCTTGTTTTATACAAAAAATGAAAATAAGTTGATACCAAACAAAATTATGATACAATATCTTTGACCAAACAACGAAAAAATAATAAGTTGCTTGGATGAAAAATATGTACAGTATATTGCAAATAATAGACTAGATGAACAAATAAATTACATGCATCATAAAAAAAAACAACTACTAAATTAATTCTAGTGTATGTTACAAAAGTGTTGATTAAAACTAAAAATCTAAATATTGACTTTTATTGAAGTTAATCATTACTGATACATATTTATATTTTTAAAGATAAAAGTAATTAGTTAATGTAATTTTAGTTAGTTCAAACATTCACCTAAAATCTTAAACATTTTACGACTTTTTTTACATTCTATAACATTAACGCTTGGAACGGTTTATATAATGGTATTGGAGGGTGTAAAAATGTAAAACAGGTGATCGGGGAATTTACTAGCTCGATGATTTGCATGCAAAACAACTCATATCCTTCGCTTCCACTGCAAATATTGTTAGGAATGCATTTCCACAAGGCTGTAGATGATTTCCACACGTGTTATTGGATGCATATGGTTTTCATCAACGTAAATTATGTTTTCCAATTCAATGTTGATCATTGTCACTGCTGGAAGTATAGCAGTTACTTGTATCTGCAATCAGATTTAACAAATTGTATTTAATATACATGTTTAAATACAAGTTTTAGTAAAAATTTACCTTTAAAAATATATGAATTTTCGTAAAAAAAATAATAGCAACACTAATACATCATTGAATATCAACCTGTAAGTGCAAAATCCTATAAATGTATTAGGATACAAGAAATAAGGTAGAAACTATTATATGGAACAAATTTATGAGACAGTTCAGATTCAATGCTGAGGTCAAACGGTCAGCTAGATAAATAATAGATTTTATTGGTGGTAATACCTGTCACTAGGGCGCAGTTGAAACTTGGGTTGAAGTAGGTTAAATTGTTACCAACAAGACTGAAAAAGAAATTCTAGAAAATATTTATCGGCTAACCAGTTGATATTACAATTCAATAAATTTGTTTGTAAGAAACATAAGGACAGCAAGAAAAATACAAATAATGTTACTCACAGTTACTAAAAAATTAACAACAGAATACTAATGTAATTACGTAAATATGTGGAATTTTTTATTGGTGATAAAGTGTATATTTAGCATGATAAATTGTGATATTCAAGATCGTGTAACTTATTTTAATCACGAAACAATACATACTAGTAAACACGTTGCTCGAAATCGAGTTATTGTAAAGAAGTAAAGTAGTTATTTACAATTATACAAATAAAAGTCATCATAATTTCCGATGAGTTTAAAAGACTTTGAATTGAAAAATAAACAACAGCAATTAAATGATACAGCTGATCAAAATGTAAACAATTATGTTCTTCATAAGGATAACACGGGCACTTTAACAGCCACTGGGGCAGAGCCCAAGGGACTTTTTCAGGTCAGTTTGCAAATCTACGCGACACGCTCTTTCCAATGAGACGTCAATGGATAAAATCGGTTAAGAAATGGCAGAGGAGTTCAACCGACAAAGTTTCATGTAGCGTATTAATTATATAGATGTCAATGTTATATTTCATATGCATATCAAACTTGATAATAAATTGTATGTCTATATTTTGTATGCTGGTCCCTGGAGTCAGTATCAGTCAGTGATAAGGCCGCCCCTCCACTACTGTCTGGGCGTGGACCTAGTAGTCATAGTCCTACAGTACACAGTGTGACGGACAGTACGAGAGTGTAGTGAGAAGATATATCATCAGTCAGCTGTAGACACAAGGTGTGCAGGTCCCTGGAGTCAGTATCAGTCAGTGATAAGGCCGCCCCTCCACTACTGTCTGGACGTGGACCTAGTAGTACTAGTCCTACAGTACACAGTGTGACGGACAGTACGAGAGTGTAGTGAGTGGATTTATCATCAGTCAGGTGTAGACACATGGTGTGCTGGTCCCTGGAGTCAGTATCAGTCAGTGATAAGGCCGCCCCTCCACTACTGTCTGGACGTGGACCTAGTAGTCCTAGTCCTACAGTACACATTGTGACGGACAGTAAGAGAGTGTAGTGAGAGGATATATCATTAGTCAGGTGTAGACACATGGTGTGCTGGTCCCTGGAGTCAGTATCAGTCAGTGATAAGGCCGCCCCTCCACTACTGTCTAGACGTGGACCTAGTAGTCATAGTCCTACAGTACACAGTGTGACGGACAGTACGAGAGTGTAGTGAGAGGATATATCATCAGTCAGGTGTAGACACACAGTGTGCTGGTCCCTGGAGTCAGTATCAGTCAGTGATAAGGCCGCCAATCCACTACTATCTGGACGTGGACCTAGTAGTCCTAGTCCTACAGTGCACAGTGTGACGGACAGTACGAGAGTGTAGTGAGAGGATATATCATCAGTCAGGTGTAGACACACAGTGTGCTGGTCCCTGGAGTCAGTATCAGTCAGTGATAAGGCCGCCCCTCCACTACTGTCAGGACGTGGACCTAGTAGTCCTCAGTACGAGAGTGTAGTGAGTGGATATATCATCAGTCAGGTGTAGGCACATGGTGTGTTGGTCCCTGGAGTCAGTATCAGTCAGTGATAAGGCCGCCCCTCCACTACTGTCTGGACGTGGACCTAGTAGTCCTAGTCCTACAGTACACAGTGTGACGGACAGTACGACAGTGTAGTGAGAGGATATATCATCAGCCAGGTGTAGACACATGGTGTGCTGGTCCCTGGAGTCAGTATCAGTCAGTGATAAGGCCGCCCCTCCACTACTGTCTGGACGTGGACCTAGTAGTCCTAGTCCTACAGTACACAGTGTGACGGACAGTACGAGAGTGTAGTGAGAGGATATATCATCAGTCAGGTGTAGACACACGTTGTGCTGGTCCCTGGAGTCAGTATCAGTCAGTGATAAGGCCGCCCCTCCACTACTGTCTGGACGTGGACCTAGTAGTCGTAGTCCTACAGTACACAGTGTGACGGACAGTACGAGAGTGTAGTGAGAGGATATATCATCAGTCAGGTGTAGACACATGGTGTGCTGGTCCCTGGAGTCAGTATCAGTCAGTGATAAGGCCGCCCCTCCACTACTGTCTGGACGTGGACCTAGTAGTCCTAGTCCTACAGTACACAGTGTGACGGACAGTACGAGAGTGTAGTGAGTGGATATATCATCAGTTAGCTGTAGAGACTTATCAAGATCGGCGTTTATTCGCCGGAACTATTTCTCATATCTACATAAAAGGTAAAATAATAATTATTATTTAAATTTAATAATTTTCCTGTTTTTTGAATAAACTGCAAATAGTTTTGGCATTTTTAAATTTTTTATCATTTTATTATTTTTTTTCGTTTTGGTGGATGTAATTTCTTGATATCTGTTAAATAAACGATTTACTTTGCTTAACCAAAATGCTGGTTAAAAGTATTTTTTGTTTATTTTCAATATATAATAGCATAGTTATATAAATTTCGATGTATATAATTATTTCACAACAAGGTTTTATTTATTATTTAACACAAATCGAAGCACAAATAACAATATGGTAGTTTAAAATATAATTTATAGCCAAAAAAGCTTTTTTGCTCATTAATTATAGAAAGTTTATTATATGTAGGCTAATAGTAAAGAGGTGGGTTGTTTATTAAAATATTATGTTACATAAAAACATAGACAAAAATTTACCATAACAATGTTCTCTAAAAAGACTTTTGTTAGAATAACTTATTATTATTTTTTTTTAGTTAGATACTTAACGAATTAATGAAAATGTCTACAATGCGTTTAGATATTTTCTCTTTAATACCTTTTTAATAAATTTTTTATTTAATAATTTCTGTTTATCTTGTAAGTACATTTTATGTGTTTTAACTTTAAACTTTGTAACCTGGAATATATAATTATTATTTCTTTTAATATCTTACTACGATTCCTATTACTGTTTGTTGTATTGCATTTTATCATTCAATAGTTTTCTTTTTTTTATTGTATTAAATCTTACATAACTTAAAAATCATCGATTAAATTTCCATATTTTGAGTTCGAATATTATGCAATAAGGTATTTTTTATGTAAAATGTTATGGATAAGTATAATTTTATGATAATTTCCTTGTAGTGTTGTAACATTTTTTACATTAAACTTAAAAATCAAATCTAGAAACAATCATGACATGTTTTTGAACAAAATAATCCACCGTGGATTTTATTAGCGTCAAGTGGTCAACAGTAGTTGAAACCAACGTACAAACACTGTTTTATCGAGCAATAGCAATAAATTTGCAAACGGGTTTGGCGCTCAGTCCCAACCAATCAGGTGTTGTCTGCATGTTGTCACAGCTGTTTGAGAACAGCTGTTTTACCAGAACAAGGTCAGCTGTGAAAACCACAATTCATTCACGGTTTATTTATTGCGAACATTTCGTCCTACACAATTTTGAATTTACCTTTATTTTATTTACCGTGCGTGTTTCCTCGTAGTATTTTCCGTTTTTAAAACCTTGTATTTCTTATCTTAATGAATGTTTTGTAAAGATAGACAATCACTAAAAGCTACTTGCTATATTAATGTTTATTCTATTTCCGTTGTCGCGATAAGTGGTTCAGCTCATTAAAAACATATTAGGTGCTCTTTGTGACTAACATTCATATAGCCATTGGAGGTATGTTTGAACTACTGAAATGGAAATATTTCGGACCAATATCAACATTGAATGCTGAAAAGTGCTGATTTTCTTATTTATAACTGGTTTTAGCTAAGCTGGTTTTGTTGTTTTAGCCGATTTTAGGTAATTCGTATTACACGCAGGCATGCTGTTGTTAATTCGTATTAACAACGTTTGCATGAATATTTTTTTTGAAGTTTTATGTGGTTTTTACAACTTAAAAGTACATTTCAATAAAAAAATAACTATACTAAAATATTTAGCTGTAACTTTTAATTACAGTATTCTAAATAACAGATAATTATTAGTTTAACAAAAACTGAATCTACCTTCTGAGAAATTAAACCTTTTAACTTTTTTATTTTGTATATAGCTACAACTTTTTTAGTTTTTCACGTTTTTCTAGGGAACGGTCTAAACCTCGGTCCTGTTACTAAAGAACGTCAACATTTACGATAGACAACAAATTAATAATTCATCCTTGCCTTGCTCAGTATTTTTAATTCATTATCTTATTAGATGAATCTCCACTAAAGTTAATCACAGATTAACCGGTTTTTTTTCTTTATTTATTTACTACGGTAAATAATCTCTTGTTATTGTTTCCAGACTGTCCACTAAAAAAACAGTGTGCATATCACACAAAACTTTAAGATAGCAGTATACTCTTGAAAATAAAATACTTTGAAGTAGAGGCCAATTCCCAAATCAATTTACCCCCTAACCATCGATAGTTCGCCAGAACTATTCGAGTGTCAATACGTCAATAACATTTCCCACTATTCACATCGGCATCTAAGCCCCTTTAGTTTGACAACTCGAGAGTAAGCCACGTTAATACGATAACAGTTCCAAGCATTGCCGTCGAATTACCTTATCAAGTCTCAAGTCTCACTTTCCGCACGGTTGGTTAATCTTATCGTTTTATAATCGTAGTAAATCTTCTTCCGTCATAATGCATATAAACAAACACAGTAAAATAATTTAATATGTATTCAACAAATAATATCATGTGGTTTTAACGAAAAATAAATAAAAGTGGTAACGAAAATAAAGGTTCTTTTGCGATTAATCTTTATTGCTGTACAAGAAAAGATCTTTCTGAGAAATCGGGAAGTGCATTTAGAAGTACAAAGGATTATTTTAGCAAAGCAATTCTCAGAATTGAAAACACTATAACGACGTTTGTTGAACTCTTAAGTATAAGACTAACATTTAAGTAAAAATTTAAGTGTCAGCCTCTGAAACTAAAAATGAACTACCTACTTCCAATAATTTCTGTTTTGCGTATTGTTTTATAAAAAAAGAACCATTAAACTAATATTTTATCCATTTATTGTTTATTACATCAATGAGCAACACCATTTATTTTATAATTACATAATATAACATAAACTCACTCATAATATAACATATAGTAACTTAATTTCCTAAAATATGACGTTTGGTGTTTTAAAGGTCATAAAAATATAATGAAAATCAGTTGTGTCCGCTATGCCTCTAAATTTATAAATACTTATGCAAATTTTGAAACTTAGTAATACATGTGTTACAATCCTAGAAAATATTGCTTGTATTAAACATTCACGAGAAAACATGATAAATTTATGTCATTGTTTAACTACTTATTTCTACTTAGTTATAGAAGTACTCAATATACTGATGAAGCTTAATATTTGGCATTATGTAGTTATCCTATAATATTCCACAGAATCCTCATAATTATAAACATGATATTAAAGGTATTTAATGACATTTATATATATATTAATATATGGAATATTTAATTAGAGACCTGGTTGTAATTCAACACGAGAAGCCTTTTAGAGCTTCACCCAAACGACAGATTCTTACGAAAATTTATGATGATATAAAAACTCAACTCAGCTAAAATTTATGCAATTATTTAGATTTTTTACGTAAAACATTGTTTACGTGTATATGTTTACAAGACGGCTTCATACAAAATATTTTGTGGAATTCGTTATGGTTAGTTAATTTTAATTATCATTGTTGAGAATCGTGTATGACAGCGCTAAAGACACTCCATATTCCTTTCCTCTCCAGTAGAGCACAACACGCTGCAATGAATGGAAGTGCCATAGGTATCAAGAAGCGCCTGACCTTGAATGCGGCCCGGGCGACCTTGAACCAGATAACGCCAATCAGCTGGTGAATTTTAATGACGTCGTCTTATCATGTTCGTTACCTGTAGCATGTTTGACCTCCGGAATCCTACTTGAAGAGTGGTTAAGCTGTGAATAAATACACTTGACATTAGTACACATATATTTGTTGGAAGGATCATTTAAATATATAGGGTGCCCCATAAGTAAACAGATTAACTCCGGAAAATATTTCTATAGGTAAAAATTAAGAGAAATTCGCTTTTATTTGTTAAACAGATATCTGTGAAGTACATTTACAAATACATTTTCAATTTTGAATCGTTTCAAACTATTAACATTAAACTTGATGTAGTTAAGTTAAAGTAGAAGGGATATATAAAAAAATAAAATAAAAAAATACCTTGGTCCAATTCTAAATTTATAAATGGTGACCGATTTTAATTTCATAATTTTAATTGGTAAAACATGTCTGAGTTTATAAAAAACTCAATAACAGTTGTATTCAGCATTTAAAATTTAATTTTACTATATAGGACATAAAAATCAAGAAGTTCTAATAAAAATTGCTAAAACATTACGATTGTTAGTGGTAAATAAGTTCATTAAGACTAAGCTCGTCAAGTTGTTGTCATTATACAAAGCTGAAATAATCGGTTGGAACAATGGAAAGATAAAAATGTTTATGTAAGAAATACAAAATGGTGGATACGGTATCTGGTTAACGAAACTAATTTGGGAAATAATCTTGATTGTCTCTATATTTTGCTTCGTAAAACATTTCCCGAAGTTTAGCTAGTGACTAAAACTTCCAGTATGTGAGCATAAGAAAGGGAAAATGATTGCCTGGTAATATGATGGTTTGATGTACCCAGCTGACGTTGGACTTTCAAAAAATAATGGCCATGGATCAAAAACCAAAATATTTTTAATCAATAACAAAGTCATCAACTCATCAATTTAACGTTAATTGTTTCGCCTTGAAATGTATATTTTGTGTCAACATCAATTCAATCTAGACTATATTTTTATAATTCCAAATAACAGTTGTTTATAATCATATTTTATTTATTACAAAATATAATGCTGATTATATTTACAACTTATGATTACGACCGAACCATACTTTTAGTTCGAAATGCTGCTTCCCATACTTTTTTTTGTCCTAGACACTAGGCACGAGCCTGAGATTATTTTCACATTACTTCAAGCTAGACCTAAGGGTTGCGGTATCATCACTTAGATAAAATCCATTGGTGACTTGGCGGGGATCGAACCCGGGACCTCAGGGACTGAAGTCCCGCTCTCTAACCACAACACCAGCTCGCTCCCCATACTCTAACTTTAACCCATACTTTACTTGCTTCCCATACTACATTTTATTTACTTCACACATCGTGCCTCTTTAGCTACACAAGTTTTAGCTTTTTCTAAACTTCAGGACATATAAATAA